GATACATAAAGGATAAACATAGGGGCTGCAGAAGGCTTATTGGCCCATACGAGGCATCTCCTATCTAAACACAAAGATTAATCCAGTGTAATTGGCCTGTTATGTTGGACATTGTCTTCTGTGTTGGCATCGATATGTTCTTGTCTTGTCCTTACTCTCATGGTGGGTAGAGTAAATAGTTCCGTGATTTGGGTGTTCATGGTAGGTCGCTCTATTCTTATGTGAATTGCCTCAAGAATTGCCTCAAGAATTGCCTTTCTTGAGGCAATTCACATAAGAATAGAGCGGCCTACCATGAACACCCAAATCACGGAACTATTTACTCTACCCACCATGAGAGTAAGGACAAGACAAGAACATATCGATGCCAACACAGAAGACAATGTCCAACATAACAGGCCAATTACACTGGATTAATCTTTGTTGACCTAATGCGGGTATAAAATCAACTAGTATTGTAAGATCTGTTCACTTGAGAATGAACCATGGAGGTTCGAAACGTCGTGCAAATTATACAAATAAGTGTAATACACTCTATAGTAAATCACTTCTTTTCTTCACCTTAAAAGTACGAAAATGAGTTTTGGAGAACTCATTTTCATTAAGCCCTGATGCTAAGAAAATAGTTAGAGGGATAGAAGCCCTAAACCAGAAAATAATAAATACAGAATATGCGGTCATATTCAATGAAACATGTTTGAAAGAAAACCTGCTGCCAGTATACACCAATATATATATATATATATATATATATATATATATATCACGCTATTATATATATATATATATCACGGCGAAGAGGTAGAACCACTTATTGACTGAGCCCGGGTGCACGGGGGAATTGTATAAAACCCCGGTTTTGTGTCTCGGAGAGACTGCAGGATTCGTGTGAGAGCAGTAGCACTCCCGGATGCAATTCTTTTGACCATGTCGTGGCGCAATCGCCTGAGGCGCGTCTGGGATCATCCTGGACGTAGGTTCGAACCCTCATCACTGCCCTTGTGGATTTGTTCATTTGATGTATCACGCTTTTATGATTTCTGTTGTGCATAAGCTAAAACATCGATTAATGGAGGTGACACGAAGGTGAGATTATTAAGTGGCTATTAACTGGGTATTCTTATACCAATCACAAATGTTACCAATTATAAAGTTATATATAATCCTCGACTTACAGTAATATTATCTAATTCACTCCATTTTATAAATGAAGATTCAGTAATATTTCTTTCAGTTTACAATCTACAATTGTGTATGAATTAGCCCAGTCAATTGAATGGTTACAATCTCTTAAGTAACATTAAGAGATTATAACCAATCTCTGTAATAAATTGTAATTAAGAGATCATTTGTACTCAAAGTTGTGTAAGACATTGAGAATTTTGTGTGTATACTCTTATACTTCGGTATCTGAATGATTAGTATTGTCTGTATTTTTTAAGGTTATTTGTATTAATACGTGCATGTGTGTAATTACATATTTACAGTTATATGAAGAGAACTATGTTCGTTGCGCCCCATTTCGGTGCATTTTATCATTAATAAGTTCTAAAACTCTTAGGAATATTTAGTCGAACCTCGATCTTTATTCAAACCATCCACTGTCCTTACGTGGATTCAAACACATCCATTCATCACATTATCAGGCCGCCTCTGTTACCCCTCACCATCTGTTCTTCGCCAGGATCATAAGTCAGCCTGGAGTTCTACCGGTTCCCCTTGATGTTCATAAACATCCTGGAGACTCACGTGAGGTCCATAAACATTCTGGAGACTCACGCAAGGTTCATAAACATCCTGGAGACTCACATGAGGTCCATAAACATCCTGAAGACTCACGCAAGGTTCATAAACATCCTGGAGACTCACGTGAGGTCCATAAACATTCTGGAGACCTACGCAAGGTTCATAAACATCCTGGAGACTCACATGAGGTCCATAAACATCCTGAAGGCTCACGCAAGGTTCATAAACATCCTGGACTCACATGAGGTCCATAAACATCCTGGAGACTCACGCAAGGTTCATAAACATCCTGGAGACTCACGCAAGGTTCATAAACACCCTGGAGACTCACGCAAGGTCCATAAACATCCTGGAGACTCACGCTAGGTTCATAAACACCCTGGAGACTCACGCAAGGTCCATAAACATCCTGGAGACTCACGCAAGGTCCATAAACATCCTGAAGACTCACGCAAGGTCCATAAACACCCTGGAGACTCACGCAAGGTCCATAAACACCCTGGAGACTCACATGAGGTTCAAAACACCTGAAAGACTCATTTGAAGTTAATAAGCAGCCATGAGACTCAGGTGAGGTTGGTAAACACCCACAAGACCGACCCGTCCTTCGTGAGGATCATAAGACAGCCTGGAGACCCACCCTGATACTTTAACACCCCTGTCACCCTCAACAGCAATTGTTATGGATGGACCTCCTAACCCGCCGAGGCGTTAACAAGAGCAGCAGCAGCTTGGTAAAGTGCTAATAGATTCTACTTTTTAAAATAGATTTCAGAAACTCATTTTCATTAACGCTTGGTTTGACAAGTGACAAAATCGTTACCACAGCCAATGGCTGGAATGCAAGTTTATATTCCATGTTTGATTTCGAAGGTCGAAAAATTATTTCACCTTCAGCAACTTTAAGATGGTACAAGAAGTGCTCCTGGCTCAAGGACTCACAGATTAAAGATGAAGTTTACAAAGGTCTATTTTACACAAATAATTTGCTAGGGCTACCTTCAAAAATTCTTTTCTCAAATTTAAATATCAACGAAAAACCCCATTAAATGCATAATACATGGAACTGACATGTACAGTATATAATAATAACTATTAAAAAACTGCGTAGCAAAATATTATAGGAAAATGCAAAGTAATGAGGAATAAAACGTTTAATACTCAAACCTATTTAGAAAATTGTTCATGTTATCCAGGAGAAATCTTTCTTATTTTATTATTTTCAAGCTAAGGACCAGTAATAATATCAAATCTTAGTTAATATACTGTTCTTGGGCGAGTCTGATGACAGTCTTTAATACTAAGTAAAAAATATTCAGCACTTTGTCTTACCTTCATTGTAAAATTTAAACCATACAAGTGGTGTCAAAACTTCTGTTTTTTTTAGTTAAGTCTGGCTAAAACAAGTGATTTACTGTCAAGCTTATAATATAACGCTTGATATTACATTTTTATATGAAGCATTATACAGTAGTTAAGAGGTTAATAGAAACGTTATCAAACCCTTGAGCAAGACGTGTACCTAAGATAAACAAGGTACCAAACCTTTTATCAAGATGTGTAAATCAGACATACAAAGTTTCATTAGCCCTTATGAAGAGAAAACAGACTGATCAGGAATCTAAATTGAAGACACCCAAGGCCTTTTTTTTTTAACTACTCATTCGTAATTTTGAGTTTTGCCCAGTGACCCCAACGGACACGCATGTTTGTGACAAGTGAACAGGAAGGACATGCACGTCTTCGACCAGTGATGAAACTCGTCTTCAACCTTGAACCAGGGACTTCGAAGCACGTATTGCATAGTCAGTGATAAGAATGTCTCTGACTAGTGACCCATAAAAGAGATTTTGGTTACACAATAAATCAGGAAGAGACAGACTTACGCTTCCATAAATATAGTCCAGCCACATAAATCTTCTCCCAGTGTTAATTACCAAACTACTGAAGACAAGAAAAACAAATGGATGTTTTTTTTATCAACATGTCCACCTGAGACTTCAAGACCAGTACTTATCATTAAGAAGATAAATTGAAAACTATATATCTAATGATGCCTTTATACTAGATTCTAAATCCCCAATCCTTCTTTCTTTTAACAACTTATCAAGGAAAGGAACACAGTGACTATAGAAACTAGATAATTAGAACGATTTCTTTTCCTTAAGGAGTTAGCAATGAATAATGGCTTGAACTTCGGCAATTATGGATAATTAATAATAGTGTTGAAAGGTTTCGCTGCAGCCGGAAGATATCGCAGAAGTAATGATTGCCAGAGCGACTGAGATCATCCATTTTGCTGATCGCTCTTCCACCACCGCCAGGCAGCTACTTCACCCCCCCCCCCCTCCAACACAACCTGCAACCCTCCTCCACCACCACCACCACCGGGCAGCTACTTACCCCCCCCCCCCCCAACACAACCTGCAACCCTCCTCCTACACCACCACCACCGCCAGGCAGCTACTTCCCCCCCCCCCCAACACAGCCTGCAACCCTCCTCCACCACCACCACCGCCAGCTAGTCACTTCATCTAATACCATCAGCGAGTCAACCGTCGCGTCACCCTCCTCCACCAACACGACCTACTGTCCTAGACAATCAAAAAAGGAAAAACCTTTATTCCAGCTACAAGACTGCTAGCCATTCACCACTGCCACCTCCATCACGGTCAGCCAACAGCCGGGTGCTTTCGTAGCCACCACCAGCCATGTAGGAACCTCTTCAACCACCATCAGCCACCTAGCTACCTCCTAAATCGCCAGCCAGCCATCTAACTACTTCTTAAACCATCATCAGCCAGCCAGCCAACTCTACTACAAATGGAGGATGGTTGGTGGTCGACTGGTAGAAAGACAACCTGGTCAAAATGGGTGGGCTCAAAAAGTGGGTAGGCCTACACACGCATGGAAACTGTGCCACAAAAATTATTATTATTAACATCTTTATTGACAAAATTAATTACAATTTTGCCTAATCTGAGGATTTTGATAGTCTAAATGACGCAGGGAGATATAAAAAGAAAATGTCTCCATTATAAGGGTAGCCAGGGGCTCTCACTGGGCGAAAAGCTCTGACGGTTAATTCCGTGAAGGACTATAATTGTATAACCAATCCGACAGGTTTAAGTAATCACCAAAGTCGACTAATGGTCGTGCCGGGACCCAGGTGCTGGAGCTCGTTTACCCCCCCCCCCCTCGTCACGGTTTAGACGTAGCCTTAACAGATATCCTTAACGGTTTTGTAGCAGCTCTCATGGTAGTGTAGCAGCTCCCATGGTAGTGTAGCAGCTCTCATGGTAGTGTAGCAGCTCCCATGGTTGTGTAGCAGCTCCCATGGTAGTGTAGCAGCTCCCATGGTAGTGTAGCAGCTCCCATGGTTGTGTAGCAGCTCCCATGGTTGTGTAGCAGCTCCCATGGTAGTGTAGCAGCTCCCATGGTAGTGTAGCAGCTCCCATGGTTGTGTAGCAGCTCCCATGGTAGTGTAGCAGCTCCCATGGTTGTGTAGCAGCTCCCATGGTAGTGTAGCAGCTCCCATGGTAGTGTAGCAGCTCCCATGGTTGTGTAGCAGCTCCCATGGTTGTGTAGCAGCTCCCATGGTAGTGTAGCAGCTCCATGGTAGTGTAGCAGCTCCCATGGTTGGCTCTCATGGTAGTGTAGCAGCTCCCCAGCTCCCATGGTAGTGTACCATGGTAGTGTAGCAGCTCCCATGGTAGTGTAGCAGCTCCCATGGTTGTGTAGCAGCTCCCATGGTTGTGTAGCAGCTCCCATGGTAGTGTAGCAGCTCCCATGGTTGTGTAGCAGCTCCCATGGTTGTGTAGCAGCTCCCATGGTTGTGTAGCAGCTCCCATGGTAGTGTAGCAGCTCCCATGGTTGTGTAGCAGCTCCCATGGTTGTGTAGCAGCTCCCATGGTTGTGTAGCAGCTCCCATGGTAGTGTAGCAGCTCCCATGGTTGTGTAGCAGCTCCCATGGTTGTGTAGCAGCTCCCATGGTTGTGTAGCAGCTCCCATGGTTGTGTAGCAGCTCCCATGGTTGTGTAGCAGCTCCCATGGTTGTGTAGCAGCTCCCATGGTTGTGTAGCAGCTCCCATGGTAGTGTAGCAGCTCCCATGGTAGTGTAGCAGCTCCCATGGTAGTGTAGCAGCTCCCATGGTAGTGTAGCAGCTCCCTTGGTTGTGTAGCAGCTCCCATGGTAGTGTAGCAGCTCCCATGGCTCCCATGGTGTGTAGCAGCTCCCATGGTAGTGTAGCAGCTCCCATGGTTGTGTAGCAGCTCCCATGGTAGTGTAGCAGCTCCCATGGTTGTGTAGCAGCTCCCATGGTTGTGTAGCAGCTCCCATGGTTTCGTCGGGCAACCATCAGTCTTCTCAAATTCTGTTTCTTTGAAGACAAAACTCCAAGACAAATCAGCGTTTGAACTTGTGCTTCAGCATGGAGTGCACCACTGTGATCTAGTCGTGTGCTGTAAAATAGTTTGACAATCAACTGGGGGCACTTGCTAGTCGGCAACATGATATACATAATGTTACATTCCAGTACCACGTTAATAAAAGGGGCATATTTAACTATTACTTCTATATTTTGCTAAGTTTATATTTTTTCATATGAGATGTAATATGGTATGCAATTACTGTAATTCGCATTTTTTTGCATACTGATAGTTAATACGAGTAGAAAAAATATAAACAACCCAACTATTGTGTGTGTAGGTTCGAACAACAGTCTTGCCGAAGCCAGCTCCAAGCACTACTGTACACTTCAGAAGACAAATGGAGAAATTTTGTAAACGAATTCTAAGGAAGAATCTTCAATAAGAAAATGGCATAATAAAACTCTTATATATTGTATTGCAGTCGATTTTAAATTAGAATTAAACGGATAATAATCATTAACTCAAGTGTCATCTTGAACCTAGGGATACCCTTTTGTGTGACTTCGGGTCGAATCCATATTATATATATATATATATATATATATATATATATATATATATATATATATATATATATATATATATATATATATATATATATATATGTGTGTGTGTGTGTGTGTGTAAGGGGATACAACCTCTGGTTCTTTCTAGGGACCCTCAAGCCTCGAAGAAGAGGATATGCAGCATCCGGGGGGAGCCTTGTCGCTACTATCATCCACTTATGTATAGATATACATATGAAACTGTATTGCACATGATTACAAAATGTGACATTAGCACATACACAAAACTACCATTACAAGTAATATATGAGTGCTTATTCTGTGTCGATAAGTTTCTTGTTTAGGGCTACTATCCATATGACTTGTACTCTTGCATCTTGGTTTAATTGGAAGATGATTTCTCCAAATGTCATATTTGTTCAAGGTATACCGTGAACAAATAGACATTTCCATCTATATATTCCTCTATCTATTATCCTCTGCTTTCCCCCTCTCTCCCTTTCACTCACAAAATATATTAAGAACTACTAAAATAGCAGTATGGATCTAAGGAATTATATTTTTATGACAAAAACTACAGGTTTATCATAGGCCATATTTTACACTCTATTCCCTGAAAAGGGCCTAGCGGGTGTTTATAATTGCTAATGTTTCTTAAAACATTTAACTTAGGCCTACCCCGATTAGCCTGTGTTTGCCCCGTACCCCAGACCATTCCCTCTTGACATTTTGGATGAGGCTAGTCACAGCCGTCTGGACATATGCACCTGTAGGCGTGTACATTTAGATCACACACATACATGGGACCCTTATCAGAGCTAACATGAAACGAAGATGGCGAAAGTCAATAGGTATGCTGTCAGAATAGTCCCAAATCTGAGACACGAACTACGAGAACTTACTAACAAAAATTAATCTCACGCTAGAGACAGAAAACTGGCTAAACGTGATCACGACATAAGAAATATTTAAGGGAATCAAGTAGAAAGACATGGATAAACTTTTGGCATGCGAGAACATAATAATGGACAAAAAGAAACTATATCAGAAAAAACTTCATCAGTACCAGGAAAGTAAAGATAAATGGATTATACCACTGAGAAATAATGGTGGAAGCAGCCTTCATACACGGAATCAAAAGTATAAATGACAGAACCGCAAGGATTTTGGTAACAAGTGCAATAATTGATTGAAGCCTGAGAGGCAGGATACGTGAGTTGAAGTTCAAAGCCCGCCATCACAAACCGATGAGTACAGTAAGTCACAGGCCGAGTACGCACAAACATGCAGGCAAACGTATATACTTATCCCACTATATCAGTATTCACTCTCTTATATACCTATCCCCCTGTAACATCTCAAATCCTTATCCTAACCCACTTCCAAGTGCTATATAGTCGTAATGGCTTGGCGCTTTCTCCTCCATAATTCCCTCCCTTCTCTTATATACACATTGTCAGTACACCAACAGTACACCTAGACGAGTGTCATACATAATCACACCCTAGGAAATACCATTCCACAAAACACTTAACACAGCCAGTATCTTTTCATATCAGATATCATATCACACTCCCTTCCTAAGCACCCTATCATATAACCTCCAGTATACTTAATAAAGAATCAGACCGTCACGTGGTCAATGTACTCCAACATACAGAATCCAAGTACCTCGCCCACCCTTACACTTTCTAGCATACCAGTAAATATACAGGCCAATTAACACGATCATGCGCGGCCCCATGTGCAAGCAATGATACACAGTCTATTGAGCAAGCAATGATACACAGTCTATTGTGCAAGCAATGATACACAGTCTATTGTGCAAGCAGTCACACACAGTCTATTGTACAAGCAATGACACCGACGCCGATCTCAATACTTTCATTCACAGCTGCTCTTGGGCATCATAAGCCCAGCTCACATGCTATAAATCAAATCATATAAACAATTTTACAATGGAATGCAGCGTTATACATACCACGGTATACACCCGAATACACACCACGGTATGCACCATATACACTACGGTATACACCCACACACACCACGGTATACACCATATACACCATACACACCACGGAACACCCCAAAGTACACACATACACATTCACACACCAACCTGTCCTTCTACAAAGAACGTCGCATTTCGTTCGTATGTACCATCATACATACAGCGGTACACACCGTCATACAAACAATGGTACATACCATCACACACATACAACGGTACACAACCTCATCCATACAACGGTACACAACCTCATCCATACAACGGTACACAACCTCATCCATACAACGGTATATACCAGATACACACACACACACACACACACACACACACACACACACACACACACACACACACACACACACACACACACACACACACACAGACACACACACACACACACACACACACACACACACACACACACACACACACACACACACACACACACACACACACCACAGTCTATACACCACACACACACCAGGGTACACACCATCAAACACTATATGGTACACATCATACACACTTGGGCAGGGGGTAGGGTGAACAATCACCCCCGCGGTCACCTGCATAGTAATGCGAGTCGAGCGCCATTATAATTCCTTCTGGAGCCACCCCCGATGTTCCTATTACCGGGATATGAAAGAGGATCAGCCATTTGAAATCCTAGTTAGCTCTCAAACGACTCTCATTACCATATACCACAAACGACCAGGGGATCCCTTGTTGAGCTCCGTCTTAGGGGTCATAATTGCTCATCAGGGGAGCAATTATACCGGGCATCTATCATCGTTGCTCACCGAAATCAACAGATCACATAAAGATCGCAACCTCATGTTTATAATCACCTTAATTACACTTGGTTACATTAATCTATATTGCAACTGCGTTGGTTTTTTTTTAGTGTGTATGATTAGCAGGACTTACAGCGGATTTTGTATGTACTGAATTTGAGATGTTCACGACGAGAAAACTCCACACTGAAGTTTGTATGTAAAAAAAAAAATTATTATATAACTACCAAGTGGAACTATATGAGAGGTCATGGTGGTTTAGCGAGAAGTTCGGATTAGCGGAACGTTCGCTAAATCGGGTATTACTGTTCGTTTGAGCCCCCTGGTGAGGGTCGGATGGTCCTGAGACGAAGGGTGAAGGACATGAAGAATTTACTAAGATAATTAACTCTGTGTTTCCCTTCGTGGAGCCAAGGAAGTATAAACAACTGAACACCGCTGCGTCGGATTTATTGAAAAGGTTATATCCTTTTTTTATATGTAATAATGGATTCTGAGTGCATCATAATAGGCACTGGAAGCTATACATTAGCTGTCTGTGTCATATATTTTGTTTTAGCTGATGGTTAGTATGCTGGTGTCATTGTGGCCACGTGATGGAGTGTAGTTAGGGGTTCTCACATGATCTTTATGTACCATGAACCTCTTTATAATTGTGATCTATGATATATCCATTCCCATTAAATGAATTTGATTAATATTATATATATATATATATATATATATATATATATATATATATATATATATATATATATATATATATATATATATATATATATATATATATATATATATAAATTAATTTATTCAGACTGAAGAATTCGTCCATCGAGTGATGTGGTGGGCTGCTGGGCCAAAACAAACTATCTCAAGGATACGAAGATTAAGTGTTAATGTTACCAGGCTTAGGAAGCATCGTTGCAAATAACGACTATCACCAAGTTGGAAGCTTTCACTTTACAGTACTTCTATTTGAGGGGTATGATGCATCAAGACTTCGTTACTCAATTATGAAAAAAAAAAATACAAATTTTTTCTCTATGGCCTCTTTCCGTTGGGATCTCTATCGTGTTATATTTCTTTAATATAACTGCATGTCTTGTGAATGTTAACCCATGTTAACTTATTTGTATCACCATATGGGGGCATTGCTGTATTACAATAAAAAGTTTACTGATACAGTATTGTAGGGTTTAACCGTGCATTACTGTATCATAAAACCATTTTTTACTTAACCCAATTAATCTAATCACACTGTATTCAACAGATGCTCTCGATTTTCTTTGTAAAATAATAATAAAAATAATTCTTCATGTTCAATTCCCACTAAATATTAAGAGCGGCAACAGATCTGTGTATTCATATCTACACAAAACCAGAGATATCCTCACTAGACATACAACCTCTTGGGCCGGAAGGTAGAGCGATTTTCGCTTCATGCAGTTCGGCGCTCAATCCCCGATCGTCCAAATGGTTGGGCACCATTCCTCCCCCCCCCCCCCCCCCCCCGTCCCATCCCAAACCCTTATCCTGATTCCTTCCCAGTGCTATATAGTCGTAATGGCTTGGTGCTTTCTCCTCTTAGACCCCTTCCCTTCACTAGAAATATCCTTACTAAAAACACCAAGATCCTTACTAAAAACACCAAGATCCTTACTAAAAACACTGAGATCCTTACTAAAAACACCAAGATCCTTACTAAAAACACTGAGATCCTTACTAAAAACACCAAGATCCTTACTAAAAACACTGAGATCCTTACT